CTTATCTTTCATTCTCGTGAGGTGTGAGCACAGTTTCGCTAGGGTGTAGTGCCCGCTTCGACGAAAGTCCAGAGTCCAGAGGCGCCTTCCCCCTTCGAGAAACATGTACTGTAATCTCGAAGGCGGTGTGAGAATCAAGGGGAATAGTCGGTGGAGGTGGACTCTGTGCCTATCATGCTTGCATGTTTGAATCCATGAAGTCACCTGAAGGTTTTGGCTTGTAGTGCGTACATTGAGCAAGTAGCGCGGAGGCAGGACAACACATGTGCTGCCCGCAAAGGCCAGGGTCATGTGTACGCGGAAAACATTGGAGTCGTGTTTTTGTGAATCTCCGCGGGAGCATGACCTTGCCCATGTCAAAACATTGTCACATCAGCGGTCTCTCAATCGAACGATAAGCCGGCAGAACTTGCTGTTTATAAAGTCCGTCATGTCACACAAGTTCCAGGGTAGACTAATTTCATTCCGAGTTACAAATCAGGATAACTGTTGCCCATTAGTATTGTTTTACTTGTGCAAACGTTGTGTGGGGGAACGTCCCTAGCCACTTGACATTAGCTTTTACCAGGCTTGTGATATTTCATTCCCAACAAGCTCTAGAACAAAAGTCATTCGTCCTTTATAGCATCGTCCAGTCTGAAGTATAGTTCTGTGTAGTTTTATGATAGAATCACTCTATTCAGCTATCAGATCGTTTGGTGTACACAACATCAAAGAAGTTAGTAACCTACTACCAAAAAGCTGTGAGGGATGGACAAAAGGACCGTGAACAAGTGATAGACATGAATTACAAGCAAAACTTAGTATCGGATATCTACAAGTAACAGAAGAGTCTTGGCTCTTGGAGTTTCTTCTAGGTTTTCATTGCCCCATAGAGAAAATTGCTCCTCCCTTTTCAGGTATGAATATAATCTAAGCTACGTTTTTAGTGTACTACTAACAGATAGAGTATTGATACCACATTACCACCACCATGAGGGGGGACTTTTTCCTACAATTCTTCGTGAGGAAAGTCAGAAGTATATCATACGTGTATTCTTTTGCCTTGAACATAGCTTGTTGCATCATGAGATTAGATATTATTTTATTTTCAAGAGGAGAACCTTACAAAGCAACCATGGTTTCCGACTATATTTATAACCCAACACAACATTATCACTTTCGATCGTTTACTAAACATGATAAAGAGCGTGAATGAAGTTGCCTCTACTTCGCAACACTTGAGGGAGACCCTTTGCTTGCGTTACAAACATGACCGACGGGTTAGTCACTTTCTTAGCTTCAATGGTGCGAGTTCATATCAATTCCTTGCTTGCAATGTTAACTCAAACATGCTGCAAGTCATCCAAGGTGAGTCAGTTCCTTTGTTGCATCAAAGAATCGAACATGTGATGTAAGTAGTTTGGAGAGTTGCTTGCTCCTTCTGTCTTGTTGCGTGCTTTCATCATATATCTCCCCGAAAGCTGGTCAAGATTTCGTGCATGTATCAATCCACGTAAGTGTGTATATATAAGTTGATGTTTGATTTGAAAATGATTCAAACATTTGTTGTTTTATTTACAATTCGATAGAAATGATATTTGTGTATAAATATAAAAAATTGATATATATATATATATACAGGAGGTTTTGAACCAGAAATGTTTGTATTAACAACTGGCGATTTAGAAACATCTATTCCAATATTTATTTACTGAAATTAATATAATTAATCTTGTGGAGAGACAAAAAGGCATATATATATGTAGCTATAGAAAATTCATCAAAATATTTGATCGATGTTGAGCTTAATTTTTTTCATTATTTTAATTGTGATAAAAAATGTATTGATTAGAAAATCTATTACTGAGTGTGATAATTTAGGAAAAAATTTCAAGTTGATTTTTTAAAAGCTCTTTCTCGAGTCTATAATCTATATAATAAGGAGGTATAAAAGTAAAATTAAACAACATGTGTCAATAAATTTCATGTTTTATCTTCTTTCATTTATCAGTTTCCTAAAAATAACTATCAATGAACTTTTTTGGGGATAATGAGCGCCTCGTTAATTTTTATTAAATTCAAATTTTCACATATTTTTTCAACAATTTAGCTAGTTTCTTGTATTTTAATGATCTAGTGATCGATCGAATATGTGGCTAAATCTACTATAATGCATCAACATTGGTTCATAACTAACCTACTTAATCATGTCTCTGAACATTGAAAAAACTCTAAGTATGTATGATTATCATGATGTTTTAAAGTAAACATCATGTTGTTAAGTTTTGAAGATACAAATGGTCTTCGAAGTATTATTCCATTACTTATGTTATGATATTTGACGAAGAAAGTTCACTTTTCTACTTATCATAAAAGTGAGAGAGATGACAACATACCACATTAGACTTCACTTGCTTTGAACATTATAAGTTCAGCTTGATGAACAAAATAAAATGATTAGATTGTTGGAATATCAAAGAATCATTTTCTACTCATCAAAACAGTGATAGAGATGACAACATACTACACTAGACATCATTTGCATTGGACATTGTGTTTCAGCTTGGTGAACAATTTGAATTAATTGTATTGTTGGATAAAAAAAAAATAGTTTTTGTTATATCAATCATGTTAACACTCAAAAACCCTACATTGTGGAGGGAGACGTCCGAGTCAATTTTACACAATTGAACACATTGGTGAAAGTGTAAGATCAGGTCAATTGCCATCATTTGTAGGAAAAAAATCAATTGATTGAAGGATGTTTTGGGCATGTGATATCTCATTACAACAAGAGTATGCTTTAATGATAAGGAAGTGGATGGATGACATTACAAGAAGGGAATTTTTGTAAGGTAATAAAGTGGAGTTTGCTAAATTAAAAATATTTGTATACTCTCACTGACATTTTTGATCTTCCCCCTGGAATTGTAATGAGACCTTTGCTCGCCTGTTTTTCTTTCACATTACTTTCTGACACATAGAGCGGTATATCGATTCCTTATCAATACTAATATAAGCTCGAGACTAAGATGAATGGTGACTAGCCGTGGATGACTGAACAAAGTAGAAGACAAAAGGACTTGTAAATCTCAGTCTGGATGAGAAGTATCAGAAGTGATCAGAAGAGGAGATTGAGTATGGTGGTTAGCAAGTCACAATGTGCCGGGGGCCCAATGAACAGAGAAATAACCATGGGCATATTCCATCGTGAGCAAGTCACCATAGGTTTGACCTTGAACTGAGGATTGTATATACATTGAAAGTCTGTATGACCAAGTGCTGGTTAGTCCACTGTAAATAACAGGAGAACAACTCGACACGCGGTACTTAGGAAGGAAGGTAAATTACACGCAAAGGCCGCGAAGCTTTTCATGAAACTATCGCTGTTCATACCCAAAAAACTGTAAAGGGAAGCCCGATAATAATTGCGGTGTGAAAAGTCTCAGGAAGACGGACGACTGTGGTCGCTCTCAGGGTCGCGACTGGCGAGGGAGCAGAGACGTTCTGACACGTCGCCACCCTCTCCGCCGTGCCTCGGAACAGGCGTGCGTTGAGAATTTCATAACGGGCAGGTCAGGCTGCTCAGGTCTAGCAGTGTCAGGGCAGGTCGAGCACACGAGAGAGTCACATGAAAGTTATGGAGGTCATAATCGAATGGAACAGACTGTCCTTCCTTACAGTCTGTAACAGGTAGAAAATCCCTTCGGAGAGACATTACTAACCTTCTCCATCATAACGTCTTGCTCTTAGAAGCAGAAAGTAAGCTACTGAAAAATATGTATTAATAAAATATGTATTAATATGTATTATGTACAAGTCTGAACATCATATTAACAAATAATATGATGAAACCAAACAAAGGTGGGGCTAGGCCAAATATTTTTCAATTAAAATGACATGTCAATGATTAATATAAACTAACTATCTAGATAAATAATTATATAAATAACACTGATGTGGAAAATATCATCTAAAAGAATGATCCACAATGGATTATATTGCTAATTTTCTTTAAATGGAATTAGAAACAAGTGGATAAAATAGGATATATGTATTCAAAAAACGAAACGCAAGCCCTTGCCTTATAGTATGTAAAGCCTTCACGCATTGACTTACGAATATGTCCAGATCTCAACACATAGCTTGATAGACTTCAAAGCCCAAGTAAGAATGTGAATTCTCTAATTACCTATTAAATTGGAGAACTTCACAGCTACCGCTCCACTTGCCATATATTACAGATATACAAAATCACACTCTTTGAAAACGTGCCACTTGTAAGATCATTAGCAACCACTTAAACCATGTAGGATGCCAACATTAAACCATTAGCGTATATAGATATCCATAGCGTCAGTGGACTACAAGGCTTCAAACACTTTATATTTTGAAATATCTAGAATATTTCTTTCAAAACAAACGTTACAAACATGATGGCATGATGGCTATCTATAATGGGCAAGGATTCATATGTAAACATGTCGATAGTCATGTTAGAATGAGATCTATTATGAGAATGAGGCGATGAAAGATTCCAACCAAGGTTACCTTGTGCAAGAACAACTACGACGATAAGGTGTAAAAAAGTGGAACGAAATCTCAACCAGTTCAATTCAATCACTCAAATGCGAAAATTTGTGTCAAGCCCTCATAATATTGACGGTTTATCATATGCTCCCCTTTCCTTGGGTCTCATTTCTAGTCTGTGGCTTGTTGCTTTGCCTTAAAATATACAGTCAAACACAATCGTCTTGCGCTTTTTTCGAGAGGAAAGAGCAATTTAATTCTGAGAGTTCAGCATTTGGGTTGGAGAAATAAAGCAAACCATACCTATAGAGCCATGTGCCCCACGGATCTCTTAATCCATCTGGTGCAGTACAGCAAACAAGATCGTGTCATGGAGCCGGGGGTCGGGGTAACTATTTGAGACTTATGAGTTAGGGTTTGGGGCCTACGAAATTGCTTTAGGTGCGGGAGGCTCGCTGTAGGTGCTTGTCTTCCTCTTCTGGGGAAGGGTAAAGCGGCCATCGGAACGAGAGTGAGGTGGGCAGTGAGAAGCAGCCGTGGTTTCGGAGAAACAGAGGGGAGATTGGCACGAGAGCAGGAGGTGAGGGGATTCGATGTGGGCAGCAGCAACAGAATCAGCAGATTTGAAGGATTGCTTGCCCCGACCCGGACCGCCTCCTCCTCCTTTTCTTATGCTCCACTTCACTCTCTGACCAGGGCTGCTTACGAAGCTTTTGGCCTCTTGCCATGCCGTAGCTGCTTTGGTGCGTCTGAACGTCTTGATTCAGTTTTGGAGTTTGCGGACGGAGCGTCTGAGAGCTTACTATTTCCGCATGGTGGCGGCGAAGAGAGGAAGAGGTGTTGTGTGATTTTCGCCCCCTACTCTTGGTTAGCCTGAGAGGGTGGAGTGCTTCACGGATCTATTTGGTAGGTCAGATTCTTTCGGGACGTAGGTGTTGTGGTGGGGGTGAAATTGTACACAGTGGCACCTGCCTGTCCTGGTGGTCGAAAGTTCACTTCCGTTTGGAGGCGGGCGCTGGGGAAATTAGTTTCCCAGAGGGCGGCAGAGGAGTGCTTATCTTGGGTTCCTTGGCAGGAGCTGGAATTTCAGAAAACGTGCGTGATCGTCTGAAGGACTGAGGCTTCTAGTTTTCGTGTGTGGAACTTGTGCTTGAGACTTTGATTTGGTTTTGCGATCGAACACTGCCAGCGATCACATCGGCTCTTCTTCTCTTCACCGATCACCTTGGCCTTCGCGTTCGGGGAAAGTTGACTTGGTTCCGATCTGCATATTTGAAGAGCTTGGTTGCTATTTTGACTAGTGCAGTTATAATGGCGGCCTTTCGCCGCCTGTCACCAGGACTCCAGGCCTCTATGGGATCGATAATATATCGGCCCTATCGACTGATGTCTGGTGCAGCCCAGGCTGCTATGGATGTCGAGGTCTGGAACATGACGATGCCCACTGTAGAGGATGTTCAGAGACAGGATGAAGGAAGGGGTCCTCAGTGGGTGTTTTTGGGATGTCCTGGAGTCGGAAAGGGGACTTACGCCAGCCGTTTGTCCAAATTATTGGACGTACCGCACATTGCTATGGGAGATCTTGTACGAAATGAGCTGAAGGCTTCATCGCCGCTGGCTAAACAGGTAGTTCAAGCCGTCATCAGTGCGGTGTATACTGCGATAGCTTTTCGTGACTTCCGTACATGTTTTAATTCTATGTTTACATCGTAAGGCTCATTGTCCACTTCATCAGTACTTCATGCGTCTTCCTTTAGTTATTTCATATGTTATGAAATAGCTGGTGATCGCGCGAGTCGCTTGGCGATGCCTGGACTACGAAAAGGAACTTCGTTGGGCTAACAGTCAAACCATTTGATGTAGTTTCCGGCCTACTGATGCTAGTCGAAAGAGTTCGTTTATTTGGACTTTGCGTGTTTCTCTGTTTTGACTGTATCCTCGTTCTCAATGCAGCTGTCCGAAGCAATGAAAGCGGGGAAGTTGCTACCCGACGAAGTCATATTTAATCTCCTGTCCAAGCGTCTGGAGCAAGGTCTGTCTGCAGGCGAAAGAGGATTTATTTTGGATGGGTTTCCTCGAACTATCAGCCAAGCGGTGAGGGAATTCGCCTCAGACCTGGAGCCTGCTGTCGGGTGTTCTTTTGTCTTTAAAATACCCTCCATGTGCTTGACTTCGTCCACTGATAATGGTTTTTGTATTTGCAGGAAGTTCTAGAGGACGTTACAGAAATTGACTTGGTCGTGAACCTCAGGCTTCGAGAGGACGTGTTGATTTCAAAGTGCCTGGGCAGGAGGATCTGTAGCCAGTGTGGAGGGAATTTTAATCTTGCCAAGATTGACGTCAAAGGCGAGGACGGCGCTCCCAGCATTTTCATGCCTCCTCTGTTGCCGCCACCTTCATGTGCCTCGAAGATGACCATCCGCGCCGACGACACGGATGAGGTCGTTAGAGCGAGGCTCCGTGTTTATCATGAAGAGGTGCGTCAATCTTCCGCTTGGCGTAGAATTGATTGTTTACTTGTTGTCGTTAGTGTCTGTTAGCACGGAGTTTGTACGGACTTCATATTCATGACCTCTCGAAATTTGTGGTGCATGAGCTTTTGAGTTACCCTGACAACAGTCGTTGCAATGAGCAGAGTGCACCTGTGGAGGGCTATTACAGAAGTCGGGGGAAACTCTTGGACTTCAACGTCGGTGGCGGTATACCGGAAACATGGCCCAATCTGCTGGCTGCCTTGAATCTGACGGATAAAGCGAGTGAAGAAGGTGATCAGCAAAAGCTGGCTGCCTGAGTACGGAATACGAGCTGTCGACAGTCCTACTTTGCCTTAAAGTATTCGGTTCATGGGTATACGAGCCCCATCTTCGAGGGACTGCCATCGACTGGCTATAACAGTCCTGTCTCTTTATCCTTTCGCCACTTAAAACACATCTGGGAATGTCCCTAGGGTGAAGATTTTGTAGTCAATTTAGGATAGCGTAAAACATTCCATTTTGAGTTATTTCCCGGGGGATTCTGCTTAAAACCCATCGAAAACGTAATGCTGCAAATGGTCTTAGAGAATCTTCTTTCGATCTACTTCTTGCACATTTACAAAAGTAGTTTCTACATCAACGTAGCATATTGATTGCCTTTGACAGGACATTTTCTGAAAAGGTTGGGTTATTGTTTTGTACATACCTTGGTCCAGACCATCTGCAGGTCCTCACAACAGTTATGAATAAGCAAAATTACACAGGCGTTTAGTCCAGTCATTAAGAGCTTAGGTACCTTTTTAGAAGTCACTTGGAAGGAAAGAAACTGCTGTACTTTTTGAAAGTTCACCTGATGAAAGTGGAGGACTAAGGCAGCTGCACGCATTGGATATCGAGTAAATGGGGACTTTGAGCTACTTCTGTGATTCTAATTGGTACAAGGTTTCAGTTGACAACGAATATGGATTATGGGAGTAATGTTTACGTAGTAATTTAGGTAGAAGGTGGTTGATTACCCACATACTCATGTGGGTAGTGAGCCAGAAAAATGAAGGTGACCAATTTTCACGAACTATTTGTCTGGTTTAAACGCCTGTCGAATTCTGATTTTCGAAGATTGCGTTCATGCGCAAGGAAAGTATTACTAACACAGGGGGCCATAAGGATACAAGACGGCCTAGAAATTGAATCAAGTGTCACCGACATTAGAGAGAGTTTCAGCTATGAGTTTGTCAGCAGTTCACAACGTAAACTAATGAGGAAAAATGAGGGAGGTCTTACCGATTATCTCGGATCCTTACTTGCATGTCCCAGACCAACGCCGACGCCTTTGAACAGGCATGTTTGGGACCTCTAATACAAGGTTGTTCCACAACCTGACGCCATGCCCGGGCAAGTTATGTGTGCATATATACATTCATTGGGAGCCGCTAGTTATCCTTCACTTAACGTTATTTATTCCCGCACGCTGGACTAATCTTACCCTGTTTCCAATACTTTTCCCCGTTTCAATCTGCCCGCGAAACTACATAGCCCGTTTGGTCCGTCCTTGCATGGTATCGACCAATCAAAGATGGATGATACGATGGTGAGAGATAATCAGCGTTAAGAGTGAGGATAACTAACCGTTACCATCTTTATTTGACGATAAGTCCTGATGATAGTTACACCTCATAACACAGAAAACCTAGTCAACAGATGTGTGCAACTGATGAGCATCTCGAGCGTTCCCATGTAGATTAGTCTTACAAAGCTGGACAGACCTAAACCATAAACGAAGTTCTACCAAACGCATGTACCCCTCAATGCACGGACAGAAAGTTCGTGTTCATCACGGGAGAAGGATGAAGGCAAAAATCTGCATAAGGATACCAATTGAGGAATGTAGTTGTATGTGAAATGAGGCATCCCAACTTCAAAAGTTTACATAGTTTACATGGCTTCTGAATCTTGTTACACTACATGTACACTATGTATCTTTTTTTTTGGGGGTGAAAATCCGAATTCACCAGTGACGATCTCGGTATCAGAAGTGGGTAATTATTTGGCATTACTGAATCCGTCTCGTAGCTGAAGTTAACCTTTCCTACCAGAGATTTATAGATTAATTTTCACTTTTATTGGGGTTGTGATTCGATATCAAACACTAGATTGGTTTCAAAGAATTTTCACAGAACATTTTTCTAAAGAAATCACTTTTCAGTGGATCCAACTGCAGAAATCGTGATACAATATGAGTGACAACTTCATCATCTGATTCGGGTTTTAATAACATCAGAATTGTACAACCATTCAACTGTACATCAATAGAATTTATTGGCTTCTGAATCTTCAACCTGGGTAGAATATAACTTTTTCATTCAACAATCTGTTGACCATAAATCGAGGCCAGAAATTTATTATCCGAAAAGATTTCAAGAGGAAATGCATGTTTTCGTAGAAAGCCAGAGAGAGGAAGAACTTCCAGAGATTTTCTCTGGGACGGAGTTCTTCATTTCAGACAGAAAGCATACGATTCAATGTAGACTGTAATTCTGCATGAATATTTGTAAAGTGAGAAAGTCGTTATGCGCAGGTACGTTAACGATGGAAATGAATTCTTCGCAGTATACAAAACTATATGTAGCGGTGCTCCTGCATAGGAATTTATCTGCGGTGATTTGATCTGATAGTGTTGAGGATACTGGTACATTGCGGTCTTTTTCGGTCGCAGAGGGAAATGGCACAATTGAAGGGACGAGATTGATCATGCTTCGTGGCTGCTGACTTAGACTTTGGTCTGGGTTTCTTCGATTTCTTCGTGTATGAATTTGTTCCGTTTGAAGTGGACTTTCACAGCCGACGTAGGACTTTCACATCTCGCTGTTATGCCCATTGGACCGGAGATAGTCAGCAGTACGTTTCAGGGGAGCCGAAGCTAGGTGAATTAACTTACATGCTTTTATGAAACATCGTGGGGAAACGATGGATTGCACAGTTTTCGATATCCAGTGATAATTTTCATTGTGTGGCATGATAATTAGAACTTGGATATGCTTGTTTCCCAAGTTTCGGATCGAAAGTTGGCCTCCTGCCTTGTTTCTAATATGTTTTTGCCGGAGGAAGAAAAAAAATGTTATATAATAGTAAAATCCGAGTGTAGGCATCCTCCGTTGTAGTCTAGTTGGTTAGGATACTCGGCTCTCACCCGAGCGACCCGGGTTCAAGTCCCGGCAACGGAAAATTCTGGGGGAAATTTCTCCCAACGGAATACACATTTTGGCTCCAGGACATTTCCAGAGGCTTACGCTTCCCTTGCTTTGCTTTCGTCCTTCTTAGATTTGCTCGGATTTGCCCTGTTCCTGGAGCTTCAAATCACGTTCATGAGCGCGTTCTATTTCCAGCTCTTCTCTCTACAATATTAGAAACATCCAATGGCCATCGTTGTTATAACATCATACATAGCCATTCGAGTGTAAAGAGAGAAAAAAGTAGCTCACTTCAATAGCTTCTGTTGTAGTGTAATGATTCCTTCCAAGAGAAACCCAAGCATCACTAAAAGATTTCAACAAAATCGGTACTAACCTCTCTTCTCGAAAGCTCCGCTGGTCTATCAAGCTGCCACAACCACATGATCAAAGAGAAGAAAGAGCAGCATCTTCATGACCCAAATCAACGAACCCCAACGAGTACAAATATAGCTGAACGAGAAGAGCAATACAAAAGCATTCAGAAACCTTGGCAGATAAAAAGAACTGAGGTTCCAGGCCTACTAAGAAACGACTATGAAATCAATCTATCGTGCTTTGCAACCGTATCCTATTGAGTGTAACCTGGATCGGATAGGTTTGTACAACGGATGGAGTATTTGTAAACTTAATCTCCTATATCCAAGGTCTCCTAATAGCACTGTTAGCCTCAATAGCTAATCTAATTGCTATATCTACCTTTGCACATGAATATTTATCTACTAAGATAACTACGACATGGGTGATGACACTTGTTTACTTTGACTAACTATCTAAGCTCTCAGTACATCACAAGTCAATATGCATACCCTTATATACACTTACAATGAAAACTTAATACATTTATCTTCGCATAACCATATATTTAGATATATATGGGTTGACTTTCCATTCAACACTCAATGATCAACGTAATTAAAATATTATTTTTCAGTTGTAAGATATGCAACAACGTCATCAGACTATTTTAATTTTTTTCAGGGCATATTGGATGAGTAGTTATTAAGAAAGTTTCATAAACTCAGGATATTCAGACCCTTATGTTCACTACTCCTTTATATACTTTTACTTTTAATAACAAAGGAGTTTGCAGATCTTTGCAGACAAACCCTCATGATAATTTTCTATGCTCTTACCGTTTATGATATGGTGATATAGCAGATGCTTCTTCACACTAATCCTCAAAAAAATTATCAAACCCAATCACCTCTTGCTTGCTCTCTCTAGAACGTTTTGATATCCCTTCTTTCATTGTTTGTGTCTTGATTTTCCACTCAAATCTTCGAACATTTTCTTTGGCCCATCATACGTTTCACTGTCCAATTTTTTTCCTTTTTGATTGATTCTCCTCATTTTCCCCCCCTCTTTTATATCATTCGTCGCCATCAACAGATTTACGATTTTCGTGAATTACTTCTGCAGTCAAAGTCGGACTAAAATCGCCATCGCCACTTGTTTTGCCACATTCATATTACCTCGTGCCATCACGTTATCTCTCCAATCTTATATTTTTGCTAAAAACCCGTTCTTGACTACTTCATGACCTTGTGAAGGTTTACAATATCACCAGTATATCTGCTCTTCTATGAGTCTTCTATAAATCTTATGTCTAGCAGTCCTTGACTCTTCTTCAAGGAAAACAAACAAAATCTTCCATTGTTTCTTATTCATACTAACTATTAAAAATTTCCTTAAAATATTCATTCTTCTTTTGAAAAAAAGAAGTTTGATCTTATCCACGCGGATCTGCAGGAAGGGGTGTAACTTCATATTATTATCTCTTAATTTCTTGTGTTATTCCCCAATTTCCGCGTAGAATGACAAATATTCTCGAGCCAAAAGTCTAATATCTATCATTGAGAACATGATAACTCTCTTATATAGTGATGAATTGACCAATTTAACTATCTGAGATTAGGTTAACCCAAGTTAGAGCAAATTCCTCATCCTATCGCTATCCGGGTTTTGCATTCTTGTGAAAATGATAAGAGAGATTAAAGTTGGTTCTCGTGACCGACAATCTTTATTTTGGAGGATTCTTGTTTGGAAGGATAAGAATGAATGAAAACAAACCCACCTCCATGAGGAATGCCACGTTTAATTTCGCAAATCATTCATACTATCATCATAAAGATGTCACTAGTCTCCTTGTGCCGTGACGTGTGCGTGATTTCTAAAGCGTCCCCCCGTTTTAATTTCGCAAATCATACTGCTCATCGTGTGAACAGAGTGATAGTTTTAGATCTCGGGTTGCCTAGTTGTTCGGCCACAGGAGGCTGCAGTGGATTGTACTTTTCCCGTCCCCATCGTATCATGATCTATGGTTGAGTGAAGGAATCGACTTGAAAACATCGATGCTTTTAGATCTCGGGTTGCCTAGTTGTTCGGACACAGGAGGCTGCAGTGGATTGTACTTTTCCCGTCCCCATCTTATCATGATCTATGGTTGAGTGAGTGAATCGACTTGAAAAGATGGATGCTGGACGCAATCAAAGCAAGGGATATCTGGGCTTCTCGAAATTTCTTCGAGCTAAAAGGAAATGCCTGTGGGGAGCGGTATCGTATCATGATCTATGGTTGAGTGAGGGAATCGACTTGAAAACATGGATGCTGGACGTAATCAAAGCAAGGGTAGTGTAGGCTTCTGGAAATGTCCTGGAGCCAAAATGTGTATTCCGTTGGGAGAAATTTCCCCCAGAATTTTCCGTTGCCGGGACTTGAACCCGGGTCGCTCGGGTGAGAGCCGAGTATCCTAACCAACTAGACTACAACGGAGGATGCCTACACTCGGATTTTACTATTATATAACATTTTTTTTCTTCCTCCGGCAAAAACATATTAGAAACAAGGCAGGAGGCCAACTTTCGATCCGAAACTTGGGAAACAAGCATATCCAAGTTCTAATTATCATGCCACACAATGAAAATTATCACTGGATATCGAAAACTGTGCAATCCATCGTTTCCCCACGATGTTTCATAAAAGCATGTAAGTTAATTCACCTAGCTTCGGCTCCCCTGAAACGTACTGCTGACTATCTCCGGTCCAATGGGCATAACAGCGAGATGTGAAAGTCCTACGTCGGCTGTGAAAGTCCACTTCAAACGGAACAAATTCATACACGAAGAAATCGAAGAAACCCAGACCAAAGTCTAAGTCAGCAGCCACGAAGCATGATCAATCTCGTCCCTTCAATTGTGCCATTTCCCTCTGCGACCGAAAAAGACCGCAATGTACCAGTATCCTCAACACTATCAGATCAAATCACCGCAAAAAGTTTAGTTACATATATTTTCTGACATATTTTAATCATACTTATTAATACATGTTATCATTCTCTGGATCAATTAGTCCTCATTGTCGAGTAAGAAACAACTAGCAAGAGGATGATGTTTTACTTGAAAAGATCAAAATTGATATACTCGCAGTATATCAATTGTTTTTTCTCCTCATGACTTCACTCTCAACGTGATGATATACTACTGTACTGGTAGTGTCTTACATCCTGGCCAAAGTATGAAAATGAATCCTCGAAATAACGAACCCAGTAAGATAGAAAACTTAACTGCCAGATAATTATATCGTCTAGATTGATGATGAAGGCATAGAGTGGAAAAGGCACGGTGCCGAATGAATTTTAATGAAATTTCTGACGTTTCCATCTCTGAGTCACTGAAGGTGAACAAACAATCCAGTATTCTGCCATATTGACATATCGTACGTATTGAAAGATTGAATAATGTCTTGAAGAGAAAAGTAGCATTTCACTGAGTTCAGGAGCTGGCCCACTCTATTTTGTTACAATTAATATTGGAGAACTCAAGATCTTTATAGAAACAACTAGTATAGTTGTGGTCGTACATGTTAATTTGGTAATATTTGAAGAAAGACTTTATAGTCATAGTTGGTAAAATATGTTAACGATTACATCTCCACACAGGTTATGAAGAAAACAATTATTGTATCGTAATCAATCCACGTGAAAGTGATAGTAGTAAACTCAACTGTTGAGGTTGGCTCTCACAATTTTAACATAGAGTACTAAGTGCAAATGTGATGGATAATTTTCTTCCATCTCCACAATTCGATGATCTACATGTTCAATCAGTCACCATGAGTTCAAGATGTGGATTGGAAGTCGGAATTTTGGATGCCCCTTGAGATCTCTCAATCTCTTGGTGTATTTTTTACCACATGACCTACAATTGAAGTATGGGCTGCTGATTTCTTGAGAATACATTTTCCCAACACATCAGACTAGTTCTCTGGACCAAAGAGCCGGAGTGTTTCCACGTAAAGAACCACTTATGTGTATTTCATTGAAATTTCATCACAAACGAATATGTACACATGATAGCCTGTCTGACACGAACGTCCACAGTCGAACTGATGTTTTTGATGAGTTTACTTATCTACCACAAGTCCACGATTCCACACAGCGGTTTTCAAAGGGAAGAAATATTTGGTTGAAAAACTCCATCCTTCCTTTGTGTATCATATCCGGAGCTTACGAAAATCAAGACACATGTGTATGTCAAACTCCAGATATCGAAGAGAACTTGAGAAAATATGAAACTATTACCTCCAGCTTTCATATTTGCAATCGTCACGGTCCCAGGCATGACACAGAGACACTCAAATACAAAACCAGGACTTTTAGCCATATTAGCAACATCAATCAGCAAGCAAATAACAAACTGGTAGTTTTTAAATTAACAATAAGGCCTTATAAATTAAGACCTCAGTAATAAAACTCAGGAGTTTATATCATAGACTGTATCTCATTCAGTGCCACGCTGGATAAACTATAAGACTTTGTTTGTGGCTGTTCATAAGCCACAGACCATAGACCCTGCAACTTGACTTGGGTGCTAGAATACATGAATTTGAAAACAATTCACTTGTTTAGATTTCAGAGAGTTTATCTTACCGCAGAATCGGATCAGGGGAAACCAAACTAACAAGTACACACGATCTTCTGAATAACAGATACATATATCAAGTGAAGGTGTGAGGAATTGAGCTAAGATAAATACATATGACTAAGGACATCTTATGTCAGTCCTGAATAGGGCACCATAGCCAATAAACAACATGCCAAACGAAAGCTGTTCTGTTTACAAACAAAGAAGAACGACACTCCATGCTGCTGATGCTGCTGAAGGACAACAAAAATGTTTCCCTTCAGGTGCATTGGAGGAAAAAAGGAAAATTGTATGCAAACATCTGTACATGCTCATCCTACATGCTACATCTCGTTAGTCCTTCTTCTCACTTTTCCTGCTAATCACGAGAGACTCTCCAGCATCCCTACTTGTTCTCTCTGAACCCAAATCTCCTTCAAGATCTGCTCTCCTCAATCTTTCTCTCTGTTGATGCTGCTCTTCTAGACCTCCATCGCGCATGACATCTTTCCAAGTACAGCCTTGTAGCAACCACACGACGACGAAAATAGTGAATATCATGTAAAGAGTTGGCAAACCCCATAGGATGTCCTTTGTTTTTTCCATGAATGACGGTTCTTTCACTTTCAATCTCTTGACCTTGTTGTTCTTGTAATCCTGTAGAAACTTGGTGATCTGAGCTTCTGCATCTCGAGCAATGAAGGCAGCTTCGTTCTCATGAGAGGAGTACTCTGCCAATCCATTCCATACAATCAAAGTTGGCAGAGTTGTCCCCTTCTCTATACCAAAAGGCTTGAGGAAACTGGGCCATTTCGCTGCATCCACATAGGAAAATATGAAACCACGATTTGCTGGTGCAGCAGCCTTCAGCATTTTCATGAACTGTCGCACACTTCCATCGTCTTGTTGCCCATCATAAATACCTATAGCAATAGGACGTCCATCTTCCCTCACCAGCTTCAGAGACTCAAATGACATTTTCGTTACGAGTGGCATCATATTCTGCCTCACAAAATCTTCCATGTCGACTCCTTCGAAAGGACCATAAAACACAGCTTGTTCCATCAGTTCAGGATGGGTCACCACCAGAGCCGGCTTCTTGTCAAAGTCAAATTCCATCATCATTTTCTCTGAGAAGTCTTGAACCACAGCAAACCAAGCTTTCTTCTTGTACTTGGTGGCAGTCTGCTTCAAAACAGATTCCTCTAAACCGAATCCTAGGAAAATGGGCGAACTATCATTAACATTCTTCAAAAAGGCATTGAGCTCTGCATCTGAAGAGAGAGATCTTATGACTGGAGCGATCGCGCGATGCACATAAGAAACAAGAGAATCTGCGTTCCGAGGTCCGTCATATTCCGCTTCTGCTGGAGAGCCACTCATGAAAAGCCTCAGGGTCGGAAAGCCCTGTATGTCATACTTGGAAGAGATCGACTTGTACTTATCTGCGTCAATCTTCGCTAGCTTGATGTGGGACGAACTCTGAGCCAGCAACTGACCCGCTTTCTCAAACTCGGGGGCCAACCGCTTGCAATGAGAACACCAAGGGGCGTAAAATTCCACGAGAAGTACATCGTGTTTGGCGATCGCGGCATCAAATGTATCAGCAGTCAAATCCAAGACATAGCTCCGTGTCTCTTCCACAGCTGAACAGAAAACAAGACACAAAATGTGTAAAAGCAGTTGAATCAATATCGTTCGCGAGTACCTTTTATAATACCCAAACCCCATTGTTTCCGACCTCAACGTCATCGTCACAAGCCTGCGGTGATAGAACACAATCCTACTCCTTGTGGTTCCGTATGCTTCCACACCAATCCTAGATGGCCAAACTCCCCTGTTCACTGAAGTTCATCACTGATCACAGAAGAAAGCCTGCCCATCTTCCAGAGTACCCTCATATTGTTCGGCACATCACGTTGGACAAACAGACTAAGGTTGTCGGCTTGAGGTACATGGTCGCTGCGGGCATTACTGATACCTTAACAAGCTTTCCTTATTGAGATACAGAGCCTGACAAAAACACCAGTGATTCAATGCAAATTCGGCCTAATTTAACGAATAACAGAGTACCACTTAGAGAAGCAGCAGGTTCATGCAATGGGGCAATCAATGTCCTGCTATAATTGATGCTGCTGCTGGTGGACTACACAATCCCGTCTTTGATGATCGTGGTCCCTATTGAGGTTTGAAACTGAAACTCCACGGCACAGCAAATACCTAGATGATATTAGAACGTCCACGCTGGCTAAAGGCATCAATCGCAGTCGTTCGTTCGATTTTCGTCTGTTCCGAGTGAGCGTTTTCACGACTGAGAACAATGTTCACGTGTCGAAGCTGGGGTACGTGGAGGAGTATTGAGTTCCCAAGTTGCCAATTCTCGTTAACCCGCTGAATATTTGTTTAGTTTTTGGTCTTAGAAGAATGACTATCTTCCTGGAAAATGCAAGTATCTCTTTCCCGGATTGAATTGTGAAAAGAGTACTGATAGTCCCTGATGAACGTTTATTTTGCAACATGGTTTTCTGGGGAAATAGCTCTATCTGGTTTTCCAAAAAAGTAAGTATACATAATGTGCATGTAGTGTAACGAGATTCAGAAGCTTTTCAAAAAACTATCTAAACTTTTGAAATAGCTATCCGGCATAGTTTTCCGTCTTCATATTTGAAATCTTTAATAAATTTGATTTAGAACATTTGGTGTTTTACTCAATTGTATTGTGTATGTCTCAATTTCAATTTGACACTTTGCACGTAATTTATTGCACATAGAGTATATGTCACTAGGAATGTTTCCTTCAATAATACCATATCATTGTAAAAGTGGAATAATTTTCAAGCTACCCGCATTGACAGGTAAAAATCTTCGCTTGCGAGTAAAGAGAATCTCCGATATAGATAGATAAGTTCTTAAAGAGCATGAATTAGAATAGCAGATGATTTTTGACGAGATTCAAATATTTACATCAAACGATAGGGATTTACCAAAATTGTGTACTAGAAGATCATCAAATCTCATTAATAATACTATTGCAAAGTATGAATTATGGGTTGATTCTTCCATTCTTGAAGATTGTAATATTGATATAGAGTATTATGATATCATTGCGTTGATATTGAAAGAAGAAAAAACTTTGTATATAGAAGTTCAAGCTTTTGTCAATAAACTTAAATAAATGTTGCTATGGAACAAAAGTTGCAGCTGTTAATGGATAACAAGACATGGAAATTAGAAGAGCTTCATAGCAATCAAACTTTGATTGATTGCAAGGAGCTCTAGAAACTTAAGTACAATATAGGATGTGATGAGATTAGAATCTTTAAATCCAAGTTGGTAACTAAAGGTTTTTACACAAGAGAAAGGTGTGAACTATAATGAAGTTTTTTCACATGTACTAAAATATGTTACAATTTGTCAGTGCACTTGATGCAATATTTTGTCTAATCATAGATCAGTTAAATGTTATTAGTACATTTTTTCTATGGATCTCTAGAATAAATAATTTACATGAGACAACAAGTTGGTTTTGAGAAGAAAATTCAAGAGAAGATGGTTTGTAAATTGCTCAGATCATTATATAGATTGAAGCAAACTTTTAGCTAGTGAGATTAAAAATTTGATGAATTCATGAAAGCAAAAGATTTTTGACAAATTGTGTATGATACTTATGTGTACCTGAAGAAGTTGATAATGAGTTTTTTGATTATATTATTTTACTACTTTACGGTTATAACATGCTCATATTGACAAAAAATTGATCCGAACGTTGAAAAATGCAAGAACCAGCTGAAGTTTGTATTTAAGATAAAAGATTTGGATAAATTTAAGAGTATATTAGGGATAAAAATTTATAAGAATTTGATAAAAAAATCTATAATTTAGTCAAGATAAATACGTTCAACGTGTGCTTGAAAAATCTAACATTATAGACTCTAAAATAGTATGGACTCCGTTGACATCATTTTTCAAAATTTTTGTAGCTGAATTTTCAATCAATGTCATTAAGAAGAAAAAGATATTATCAACTTTCTATGACAAAAATGTGGACAATTTGATGGAGTGCACAAAATTTGATATTGCTTTAAGTATTGTTCAATTATATGAAAATACTAAGAAATATGATTTATTGTTCGATGATTTATTAAACAATGTCAAAATTTTGCTAGTTTACGTTGATGTTGATTATGTACAAGATTTAGACAAGAGTAGTACATCTACTATTGAGTATGTGTTTAAACTTGATGATGGATGCATTAGTTGAAGATTTACTTTGCAAAAGTGCGCAACTCAGTCTACAAAGTAAGTTGAGTATGTATTGGCATAAAAAACAACAAAAACTTGCTGTTTGGTTGAAAATATTTATCATTAAAATGGAATTGAAACAATAAATTATCAATCTTATGTATCCAAAGTGCATTATATCTTGTTGCATATGAAGTAATGAATAGTAGAGTGAAACACATTGACATCACATATCATTTTATCAAACATGCAATTATCGATGAAAAGAATGAGCTAGTCAAGATTGATGGTAAATTCAATTGAGGTAATACAAGAAAAAATATACTTTAGACGGTTGTATGAAACATTGTTTTATTACGCAGATTTTTCATGAGAAACAAAAATAGACTTTACTAGCAAATTTTATTACCTCTATGATATTTTTATTTGTATCATGTTTTGATTACAACTTAATTCTTGTTAGCTATAGTTTGAAAAGTAGACTTTGTTAGGTTTCATCTAGGATTTTTTGCACATGAATTATACTGATCAAGTTTGAAGAGTAGACTTTGTTAGGTTTCATCTAGTATATTTTGAATACCAATATTGATCACGTTTGAAGATTAAACTTTGTTCATTTTCATCTAGATTATTTTGAATAGAGACTAGAATAACAACATTTATTTGTGATCTTCATTGTAACAAATTTGAGCTAGTGAAGCTTCCAAAAATCAAGCTTTGATTGATTGCAAATATGTCTACAAGCACAAGACTATTTAGCATGTGCGGACATGCGTAATTTAAACTACCGTATGAGCGGCTGCCTAAATTACCTAAATTGCGGCAATTTTAGACGTCTAAATTAATGCATAAAATATAATCATCTGTCATCTGGTTCAAATCGTTGCGGAACTATTGACCTGCACGTTCAATTTATGTTCTTTTGATATGTTTGGAATTTGCTTATATTTGTGGAGCTTGCATTTTGTTGATAATTCACAATTTCAATCAATTAGTCAAATTCTATTTTTTTCTTGCTGGTGCTTTTATCTTAATTTTGAATTCACAAAAGCCAATTCCAATGATATTCAAATAGCACCAATATCTACGAGTTTGAAGTGAAATCTCCAACATTGTCTAGATCAATCACGAGATAAGTTCTCATGTGAGTTTGATTGTTGTTTAGCATATGGAGCAAAGCTCTAAAATCTTAGGGAGTATAAAACTTCAAGCGAGTCACATAGTTGTAAACCAAAACATAATTGATTTGTAAACGTCACCCAGATTGTCTATGATGCAATTAAGAAAGATTACGACATGATTAACAAAAAATTGAGAAAAAAGACATGCAGCAATATTTGCTGCATGTTTTTTTTCATGATTGCTTTGTCAAGTTATGATACTCTTATCCAATTTTTATAAAGCGCAAATATGGAGTGTCTCACATTCAAAGTTCAGCTTGAATGCTTGAAGTGAGGCATGTATTGTATGGATTTGTTGGCAAGAACTTATTTGTAGAAACTTGAGGAGCTTTGAGCTGAACAACATTCCAAAGAGAACCATCCAACAAAATGCTATGAATTTGATTAACTAGATCAAAATAGCTCTTGAGCAGGCATGCAGAACAGTAGTATTTTGCATAAACATTATCGTACTTGCCGGTCGTAATAACATGAACTGGTAACAAGTACATGCATTTCCTTGTTCATTCTTTTGAATGTCATGAGTTCTTTCTCTTTGATATGCGGCTTTTTGCAAGCTGCAACTCACCACCAATTTTATCTCTTGGATATTGCAAGTTGGAGTATTTTATTTCAACGAATTCTTTGGACGTCTTAACTTGTTCATCATCAATCAAGTTATTATGCAAATCTTCAACGTCCATTTCAAAATTGGAACATAGATCAGTGTGTATTGTGTGGTGAAAAAAACTTGGATCCGATATATCCTTTTGATTGAAGATAATATTGTTTGACGATTAAACACTACTCAACTCTTCTTGATCTTGTAGATTAAGAAGAACATTTGTGAGGTGATGGTGATAACTGGTGAGGTAAACTTGTCTTAAAGCTTTTAGTTTAATGTGTTGATATCGTCTCATAGCTAAAGAAATTTCATTAAGTATAACTCCGTCATATTCTATGAGTTGCATCAATGATTACAAGTTGCAAAGTTTCATCTGAAAGCTCAAGATCAACTACTCAATTTATTAGCCCTTGACTTCCTAGTCGCAATGAGTTGAACCTTAACTTGTATATATAGAGCAAATCGACTATAATTGTATAGATAGTTGTTTTTGTATCAAGTGTGAGTAAAATGATGATGTAGATTGAAATCCGTTTGTGTTGGATTTAAGTTCTCCTTTTTTTACTCATTGAGAACCATCCACGTTCCTTTGAGATTTTGTGCTAAACAAGTTTCTCTTATCATGCACAACGTCTAATTCTGTAATATCCTAGACTAAATTTTAATGTACAATCTTGAAGACGAAGTTGTGAAAAATTTTCCAAGCTCTTGTGATTGTTTCAAATCTTTCAAATCTAATTCTGTAATATTGAAGATTAAATTCTAATGTACAATCTTGAAGACAAAATAGTGAGGAATTCTCCAAGTTGCTGTTATTCTCTCAAATCTTCTAAGTCTTCGTGTGGAGTAAACAATCTCCTCTATTTGGCTGCTTACAAATCTCATCTCATATATTTGAAAATTTAGATTTCAATACTTTTCACTCCTATCTAATTATTTGCAATTTTTGAGCTTCACAATCTGTTTTTGAACAATTTTTTTTCTTGTATTCATAAATTTGAATTTCTTTTACTGTGTTATTAAAAAGTAAACAATTCTTTCGATTCTCAATTGAGCACTGTTTCAATTGAAATCTAACTTTTCTTAACTTCTTGTTCATGCAACCAATCTACTACTCGATCAAAAAAGATAGACGCACAACTGAGCTGCTAGTTTTTACTATTTATCAATCTGGGCTTTAGCTTGTTCCCTTGATATCTTATTAGAATTTCAATCGATTCAAAAATGACAATCAAAACTTTGATGGATGTGAAAGTGACGGGAGCAGCTTAATCATGGAGAAAAGAAAGAATGCATAATAAGACAAGATCTTGTTATCTCACACACACTTCACCTTTCTATTTTTCTCCACGAGACTCTATTTTTCTCGCAAAAAAATTTTGCAACCTCAAACTCTAATACAAATAAACGCATAGAGTTCACGCAATGCCAACACAAGGGATCATTTTACTAAAATAAAAAAATTAAAATAAAACCACGCGACTAGTCTCCTCATCGCCTTAATGAATAAGTACAATGACAACCGATATCCAATTATCATCATAGAATTCTAATCCCAAACATTAGCGACAATTGATAGTGAATTAATCTAGCAATTCATGAATCTTTGAAAGATGATTGGAGCATTAAAGAGATCAAATGACATCATTTCAATGGCTAAAGTTACACATGTTGCGATAAAAGTAATTTGAGTTGATCTTCTAAAACAATTTTGATTTGGTTATGATCACTATAAACATGTTCAAAACTATATCACTCAAATCTTGCAAACTCTTCTAGAATCTTATCCATGAAAGTTAAAGAATAGTAATTCTTTTCGAAACATCAATCATTTTTTTGTAGTTTATGAAAGGTTTAAAATAATAATTCTTCTTTCTACATCATTTAATTTCTTGTAATCCGAGCATACTCACAATATATTTCTGTTTTTTTGACAAGATATAATCAAAAAATTTTATCGTAGATGAAACCCAAATTCTTTGAACTTCTTAATATCTTTCTTCATTATCACAGTTATAGAAAAATTTCTTAAGCATGGTTGAATATAGATACTATCTTCTTAAATTTAATGTGATGAGATTCTAGTGTCACACGCTCTAAATCTTTGTGACAAAAAATAAAGATATGAATATTTATTTGCAAAATATATACTTAAATTTTACATTTTACTTCTTGATAAACTTTGTACCAAACTTGAGTATGAAAAGGCGTTTGAAAATCTCCTTCACATTCATCTTCAACTTATTATGATATTTCATCATCCTTGATCTAAAATGCCATTTCATGACAACAACAATTTGAACTTGCACATTGTCATCTTGAAAGTCATATGATGATGTATTTTGATATGAAAATCACATGTTAGTGTCAATTTTTGAAAAAAATCCACTCTCATGTCTTTCAAATTTCTAAAATTCAATATTTGGTCTATCTGAGTCTATTGTTGCATCTCCTCTTTTTGTCAATGAAACTTTCAGTTGATGATTTTTTGTCCCTATACAAAGGTAGTCCTTGCGTCATCAATAAATGATTCGCATAGTACTTAGCCAAAAATGTCACAATGATAAATCAGTATCAGTTATTTTAAGCATTTAGAAAGATAACAAGGTTTGAATCCCTCTCTTACTCATCACAATCTTCTCTAATACATCAATGGTTGTAACTCTTGTTTCTTGATCATATCAGAAATTCTATCAAAGGATCTAAAAAGCTTCATCTCCAATTTTAACAACAAGATTTTGGACATTATGTTTATTGCAAAGATTATATCAATGGATCCGTCTTAAACATCATGACCATGGATTTTCATTTTAATCTTTGAAAAACGAATATTTATTTCTAAATCAATAGCATTCATTACATCAATCTTCACATTTGTGATGTAAACATTTCATCCTTGGATCTTTGATTTTTGATCCTTGTGGAGCTCAAATGTCATTTCAACTTCTTTTGTATAACCAAATTTAAAGCAATCAATTGACTAAGTGTTATATTGATCTTTTGACCTCTAACATCTTTCATCAAATTGTATTTAGCTTGTGAGACTTACATGAAAAGTTGTACATTTTCAACTTTTTCTTTTCAATGTTGATTAAATCACTCCACTAGATCATGGATTTCAACTTAACAAATTACTTTTGAATATAGAATACTTTGTAAATATTGCACACTGTTTTGGATAAGCAAAAATATATATACCTTGAATTTATGTAATGCTCTCTCTTTTTAAAAGTGCATTGATGAAAAGATATATCAATAAATGCTATTTCTTTATATTTTGTTTGATATGAGATCGGTGTGTTGATATTGTGCGAGTTTGGCACAATATGAACACACCGATCACATTCTGTTCTCAGTCTTAGGAAAAGTTCTTCAAAAACAAATATTTCGACAACTAAAGTACAAAACTATAAAATATTCTTGAGATGAATTTTTTCTTCAAGAATATTTTGCATATCTTATAGAAACTTCTACTACATTTTGAAATCTCTTCTTCCACAATAATCTAAGTTTGTATTAAAATTAGCTAGAATTTTTGTGATATGTTTTAACTCTTATTGCAAAATGCATTACGATTGTTTATCATGAATGAACTAGCAAGAGTAAAAGGATTTGATTTTTCTACGATTGATAGAGTTATTTGTCTAACCATCAAACTAGAATCATCATCTTCTAAGCTTTTCTCCATTCCAATGACAACTTAACGAATTTAATCTTAGAAGAGTTCTTTTTACATTATAAAACCTCTGACAAAATTCTTTGTGAGCATAGCTTGTATTAGCATCATTATGTATTCCACTTTGTCTTCAATACTTCTTTGTATCACGTGAAATCTTGACTCTAGCTTTTACGTTCATGGATCCATGGATGCTTTAATGAATCCAACATCCATGGATCCATAAACGGCTATTGTTATATATTGCCAATTATTGGTAATGTTTTTTATCTGTTATATTTCTAGCATTTTGACAAAATTGGTACTAATCCATTTTCTGGAAAAAATGCAAACCTTAACCATTGTAAAACAGAAACCTTGTATTAATCAATTAATACTGTGGTTTCTTAAGACTTTCCGTAGATTGTCCTTTCAGCAGAAAATCATAGCTATTATTATTATTTATAGCGATCTTTTTCTGTTTAGTATTTTTGCTAGAATTCTTAAGCACATGACTATGTTTTTAGCTTAGTCGTTTTTTCATTTTTTCGGGTGCTGGTTTTGAGACCTTAGGTCTTGGGTCTTAGATCACAAAAGAAGGTGTACTTCTTTTTAGTACTTCTTTTTATCCGTTCATTACTGGATCCTCGTCCGGGTACACCCGGAATTGTGGACCTGGTGTAAGGCCTGAGGACGAAGGAAAGACAAAGTCTAGACCCACGGCCAGGTTTGAATCCTAACAGTTCCTATTACGCGGGATAGGGCCAAATAAACCGGCGACCCAAAGGGTTCGGGTCGAATCTCCGGGCCTCTAACCGTTAGGTTAGAGGCCCGGAGGGCTTTGTCTGAATAAACAAAAAAAAGATTAGCGATACTAAGCTCGCGAGCAAATGATAGAGCTGCTCGCCAACTCTTCTTGTTGATTCGCAGAAATAACAAGGTGCGTGCGGCTGCTATGTTGGGGCCCTCTTTAAGAGGTTCATAGAAGCTATTTTGTGGAAGTTTTAAGAGGCTAGCTTGCGATGTGTGTAATCTCCCGTTATTGAAGTTGGGACTCATAATCGGCATGCAAAATGCCGTAACGAAAAGATCTCAGACATATATATGTACGTCGTTAGAAAATTTCGGGGAAAAATTTCTGCCGACGCAGCTCGCAGCAAAAATATATATTTTTTGTTCACAGCTAATAAAATTAAAAGGGAAAATTTCACCATGATACTTTTTTATGTTTTTGTGGTCCTCGCTTTAGTGTCAGGCGCTATGGTGATACGTGCCAAAAATCCAGTTCATTCTGTTTTATTTTTAATCCTAGTTTTTTGCAATACTTCCGGGTTACTTGTTTTGTTAGGTCTTGATTTCTTTGCTATGATTTTTTTAGTGGTTTATGTAGGAGCTATTGCCGTTTTATTTTTGTTTGTCGTTATGATGTTACATATAAGAATAGAAGAAATTCACGAGAATGTATTGCGCTATTTACCTGTAGGTGGTATTATTGGACTTATTTTTTTGTTGGAAATCTTTTTAATGGTAGATAATGATTACATTCCAATATTACCAACGAAATTGAGTGCAACCTATCTAACATATACAGTTTATGCTGGAAAGATACATAGTTGGACTAATTTGGAGACATTAGGCAATTTACTTTATACAACCTATTTTTTCTTGTTTTTGGTTTCTAGTCTAATTTTATTAGTAGCACTTATTGGGGCAATAGTACTTACGATGCATAAAACGACTAAGGTCAAACGTCAGGATGTTTTCATACAAAATGCTATAGATTTTCAGAATACTATTAAAAAATTTCGTTGAAAATCCTATCAATTCATTTTTTGGTAAAACATAATGGTATCGATTAGAATTCAAAATGAGGTTGTCTGGAACTCGGGTCTATATTTTTCTTTATACTCGAGTAAAGCCCTACGGGCTTCTCCTTTCAAGACTTGGGCTTGAAATCCATCAGGCCACAAAGCGGCTTGATGGTTTCGCCTTGCGCCAGGATCAAAAAAAAGAAAATTAATCATATGGTTTGCAGTCCGCTAGAACAATTTGCGATTATTTAATTGATTCCTATTCATATAGGAAACTTGTATTTTTCATCTACCAATTCATCTTTGTTTATGCGACTAACTATCAGTTTAGTATTGCTTTTTGTTCATTTTGTCACCCGGGGCCTCTTAGTACCAAATGCTTAGAAATCCGGGGCTCGCCCTGCGGGCCCTATTGGCAAAAGTGGATAAGTTCGGGACGGGGAACCCGTTTGCACATGCGAAAGAACTGGGCGATGAATATGCCCTCAACTCAGCCTTGGTGTAAACCCAGTGTAGCCCCCCCGAAGTAGGCAAGTAAGGCGACTCGTCCAATTCGGTTATGGAGCAAGCTGTCCCTTTGGGACCCATATCTAAATTGGATCCTCTGGGGTTAACGGATAAATCGGGAGCGTCGACGGACGATACCCGGTCAAACTATCAAAATAGAATTACCTATTCCACTCCCTTGGTAATTTCTTAAATAGTTCTTATAATTTTGGAGGGATTATTGAAAAAGACCTCACCGATAAGTTATTTATTGTGGGTCCTGGCTCGTTATTTGTGTATAAATTGGTTAACCTGAAGCCGAACGCCAACTTCAAGTTGGCGCTAGTTGCTCTAGGGATTGTTTGCGCTGCTTTGCTTGTATATAAACTCAAAGCCGAAGCAAAAATATTATTACAAGAAGTATAAATCTGATAAGCGCCACAACCATGAGCGACTCGCTTAGTTGCACAAACTTTTACAAACGGCCGTACTGCCAGGTGTCAGGGATCCCAGTTTCTTTCTCCTCTTTCTTTCTTTCTTCATACTTCCTTCGGGCTGCCCCGGATCAGCCGGATTTTATCTTAGTTTTGGGAACGGGGAGGCGGAGCGCTTTGCGGAGAGGGTCGGCGGACCCTACATTCCGGCAACCATGTAGAGGCCATCAACCGGATAAAATTCCAACAACCATGTAGAAGAGAGGTCGTCACTGTAGAGGCCGCAACATTGTATCTAGTGCGTTGCAATGATCTGCGCCGTAAAAATGATCGCAGTCGTGTCGTGGAACGTTGCGGGAACTAAAACTAAACTGCAAGAGGTATGGCTCAGATGGAATCCCTAATTTTCAAACTGTAATATTTGTAATCAAACGGTGATAACAAATTGAGGCGACGAAATTTTAAGCGGCAAAGATTAGGGTTTTTGAAAATAAAATCACATCAATATTCTCCAGCTTGTCGTTTCGACGTCGCTTTTGGGTGCCAGTGTCAGTGCTTTGAGGAGCTCGTGCCAGAGCTCGTGCTTGTACTTTTCTTGTCATTTCAGGTGCTTTTGCAGGTGTGATGACAGCATGGAGGCAGATGGATTGTGCAGGACCCACCTTATGATGGCCCTTTCAATTCGTTAATGTTGAATTGGTCAAATGGGACGGCCTACATCAAAAGCTCGAGGCTTAACGATTTTGTTTCGGGAGAGGGATCTTGTCATAGTGATGCGAAGACAGAATTTGTGACACGTTGCTCATACAAGGGTGGAGGTACTAGGCACAATTGGGAATCGTATGCAATGTATTATTGCAAGTATGGTACTCCAGAAAGGGGCAAGAAGAGTATGCTTTCCTCAAATTTTATTCAAGATCCATCAACAAAGGCAAAATTTGGTCCTGGCAGCAGGAATAGACTAGATCATGATTCGCATCACAAGGGCTGTCAGTGCAGGTTTAGTGCCATTAAACTGCTGTTTAATGACCACATTCCACCAGAATGGATCACATTCCATTGATATACAAGCATAGAAGACACGTAAATGCTGTAGGTGTAGCTTGTCATGGCCCAGCGTGTTTGGATAGTGTTGGCTTGCCATCTCAAATGGCGCGCAATTTATCCTCTGAATGTAGGTAACGTCATATTTGTTACATTTTCAATGTATTTGTTTATCGTTCACAGTCAATCTCCCGTCATATTTGTAATATCTACAATAAGTTTGTTGTTATTACAGTTTGTAAAACTTTGACACTAAGCAAGCACGTTGTCTAATATTTTCTATGTTCTTATGCCAGGGAGTGGGTTGAATGCGAGTTAAGAAGAGGTTTAACTCCTCCACAAATTCTCATGCGTGCTGCAAAAGCACTGTTCTAAAATCATCAGCGCTTAGGCTATGTGCAAGGGACCCCTATTAAAGATCATTATATCACATCTGCCGATGTGTATAATATCAAATTGGAACTGGACAAAGAAACTTGGAGAAGGCATGCTAATGATAGAATTAGCACAGAATTATGGATGAAAGCGAATTCATCTCAAGTTGTTTTGTATCAGGCACCAAAAAGTGATACATTTAAACCATTGAGGCTTGCTGTTACAAGACCCTTGCTCCTAGATTGGTTGCTAAAACATGGAAATGGAGGTTGTGTTGCTATAGATGGAACGCATGGCACGCAGAAGTATAAGGTAATATTCTACTTGTCCATTTTGATGTTTTTATCATCAGGGTTCCATGATTATGTATATTCTACCTTACTATTTGCAATCTCTGCAAGATATTTGAAAAAAAAACGGTTTGGAGCTTTAACCAGTCCTGTAAGACATTATTGAACGTCTCAATGTGTGCTGTATATGTTGTTTTATATACCTTGATCACGTCTAAATTATCAAGACATAAAAATAGCGAATCATTCATTTGTATCAGGTTTAGCTTAGTATCAATGAAGATGAATACTTTGTAGACGATTGCTAGCAGCAAACTGATACGTTTATTTCATTTTTTGCAATGCAGTATCCACTGTACACCCTGATGGTGTTTGACGAATATGAACACGAACATCCTAGCGTTTTTGGATTCCTCGAAAGAGAAGAAACAGAAGATCTGGTGGATTTATAATCTGCAGCAAAGAAGATGGCCCAGCATTATATCCTATGATATTAGTGTGCCTATGAGTTTGATGAAACTTATTAAACTGATGTGGAATGGCAGAGCAAGATAGTGAAAACTAGTAGTTTGATGATCTTTGATTTATTGATGAAAAAAAATACTTACCTGTAATGTGTTTTATTCTACTAAGAAATGTCACTGCTTGTTGAATTTTTAAATTATTCAGTAAATATCAACATTTATATATAAAAAAAAGTGTATTTTGGTCACTCTTTCACTCAATAGTGTATTAACAACTGTGCTCATTTTGGTCCTTTATAATATGACAAGTCGACGAAAATGGCCAACTTTATGTGCTAGACTGGAAAGCTATTGATTCGAGTGGAATGGAACACGCGAGGCGGTTCATCTGTAACAAATAAATTCAGAAAACTAGACAGACCTAGGAAGCACAGGAACAAGAGAAAAAGCATCGCAGTTGTAATATGTGCCACACTGCGAAAGTGTGCAAAAGTAGTGGGAGCATTGGTTGCATAGTGTAGGATAGAGTTATAGAGTTATAGGCCAACTTTCCTGTATCGAGAGATGTGAAGTCTTCCTTGCCTACGTTCTCTGAGCTCTTCTCTGATGTACAACTTTAGAGTCCCCCGAAGAAGTCTTTGAGCTCGTCTGTACAGATATGAGACCAAA